CATCAATTGATATGATCATGTGGTTCTTCTCCTTTGTTTTATTTATGTGGTGGATTACATTGATTGTTTTTCTAATGTTGAACCATCCTTGCATACCTGGAGAACCCAATTGTTCTTGATCTCTCTATTCCCCATTCAGCTATGTGGTCCTTATAATTTTGTTCCATTTGCCAACAAGATGGCAATGGTAGCTCTAGCCCGTGAATCTTTGTGATTTCCAATCCTCAAAGGGAAAGAGCAAATCTACTTGCCTAATTGCTTAATTCAAAGTCCCAGGTGGTTAGGTGCCACTGAGTTGGCTGTGACTCATAGTGACGCTAAGTACAACAGAACAAAACACTGCCAGTCCTGGGCCATCCTCACAATCACTGCTATGTTTGAGCCCATTGTTGTAGCCACTGTGTATGCTGAGCAAATAATCCAAGAAGCTGGACTGTATGAAGAAGAATGCAGCATTAAGATTAGAGGATGACTCATTAACAACCTGTAATATACAAATGACACAACCTTGTTTGCTGAAAATGAAGAGGGCTTAAAGCATTTATTTATGGAGATTAAAGACTGCACCCTTCAGTATACATTACACCTCAATGTAAAGAAAATAAAAATCCTCACAACTGGACCAATAAGCAACATCATGAAAAATGGAGAAAAGATTGAACTTGTCAGGGATTTCTTTTTCTTGGATCCACAATCAATGCCCATAGAAGCAGCAACCAAGAACTCAAATGACTTATGGCATTGGGCAAATCTGCTGCAAAAGACCCTTTTAAAGTGTTAAGAAACAAAAATGTCACATTGAGGACTAAGGTGGCCTTACCCAAACTATGGTATTTTCAATTACTTCATATGTGTGTAAAAGCTGGACAATGTATAAGGAAGACCAAAGAATAATTGGTGCCTTTGAATTATGGTGTTGGTGAAGAATATTGAATATGCCATGGGCTGCCAGAAGAACAAACAAATTTATCTCGAAAGAAGTACATCCAGAATGCTCCTTAGAAGGGAGAATGGTGAGACTTCATCTTACATTCTTTGGACATGTTGTCAGGGAGTGAGGAAGACCCTCAATGAAAAGAATTGACACATTGGCTGAAACAGTGAGGTCAAGCATAGCAATGATTGTGAGGATGGTGCAGGCCTGGGGGCAGCATTTCGTTCTGTGGTACATAGGGTCACTATGAATCAGATTTGACTCAATATCATTTAACAACAACAGGCATGAATCTCCTGGCTCTGAGTAGCCTGACTTAGCCATATGCAAAGCACTGTGGCCAGGAGTGGTCTGACTGGCTTAAGTCTTGGTCACTTGTAATCCCCTGGAAGAGGGCTTATTAGAAATTCATGGACTGAAAGTAAGAAAGGAGGTTTTTTCCCAGATATAAAAAAGGACATGGGCACCAGAGAAGGATAAGAGATTCTGGAAAGTAGAAACAACAAATGTCCATTGCCATTCATCCTGCTATGATGTTGTGGTGCAACGGGAGTAACAATGGGCAGCAGGAGGTGAGGCTGAGAAGGCACCAGACAGCAGGGCAGACCCTGCTGGGTAACAGAACGGTACCATGAGGAGAAGCATGCTCTAAGACAATCAAGATAGACCAATGGTGGACCACCAGCAAGAAGTGGCCAGCCCCTCAGTTTTTCTTCTAGAGGCCACCTCCAAGATCTATCTGGCCATGTCTCTCCCCATACTTCAGCTGAATGAGCCATTCACAGATCTCTGAAGACAAAGCATCTCAAGCATTTCAGCTTGAGTAACTCTTATGGGGATGAAGGGAAGCACATGACCCCAGAAAAGAACCACAGTATCTTAGATATCTAGTGCTTGTATAACAGAAATACTACAGGTGGGTGGCTTTAACAAACAGAAATTTATTTTCTCACAGTTGAGGAAGCTAGAAATTCAAAATCAGGGCACCAGTTCTAGAGGGGAGGCTCTCCTTCTCTGTTGGCTCTGGGGGAAGATCCTTGTCTCTTCAGCTTCTGTTCCCCAGTTCCTAGGTGATCGTCATGTGGTGTGGCATCTATCTTCCCCCATCTCTGCTCACTCACTTGTTTCTTTAATCTCTTTCATATCTCAGAAGTGACACGTTCTACACTGATCCTGTCTTAAGAACATAACAAAGAAAACCCAGTCCCAAATGGGATTATAATTACAGGTATAGGGGTTAGGATTTACAACAAACTTTTAGGAGGCACAATTCAATCCATAACACAATTCAATCCATAATAATCCATAACAGGGAGAAATTTCCTTTAAATCTTGTATTTTTTCTTTTAAACATTAATACACATACTGCATTCTATTCTAAAATAGATTTGTGTTACTTTCAATATTCCAGGTTTTAATGACTTACCAGCTAATGTCAGTTGGCTGATAAAGCTGACAGTCCAGTAGAACCCCATGTTTATTGTGTGGCTTCCAGGCCCATGGCACTGGGAGAATGACAGCTGGGTGCTAGGGTTTTCTAGAATGCATCCTGGACAAGGAGCTTGGGTTAGACTTAGCACTTAGCTTCAGATGAAAAAGTTGGACTGTGGTGACCTCTGTGATAATAAGTCTCCACCAAAGCTCCCAAGAAGAGATGAAGAAGCTAATGAATGGAAAAGACTCAGTTGTGTGGCTCTTAGACACTGATTTATCCAAACTAAGCTTTGACACCACCCTCCTCCCATAGCAATGGAAAGTTCATTGCCACCTGGGATGCATACCCCTCAGTGGTATCAATTTACTTAAAACAGTGGTCAAAGTCACCTGCTTGGTACCCACAAGCCAGGCAGGGACACCTTCCCCCTTAAAGGAAGGAAATAGGAGAAGCTCCTCACTTGCCCTCTCCCTATAGCCCCAATGGAAGAAGGCTTTTGAGTCAGTAGGGAAAGTGGTTGAGGCCCACTTGGCCTACAGGAAAACTGAGGGTCAGGGAGGTAGGACCTTGTCCCAAGGTGAGAGGAACAAGTTCAGGGAGACATAGAGTCTCTGATTCTGGGCCAGTCTTACTAGAATCTCCCCACAACCATCTTGGGAACTGTGGCATTCTTCTCCCCATGCAGAGATAAACTGATATGAGGTTGCCCTGGGCAGCAGCCACTTCCCTAAAGCCAAAGGCCCAGGCAGAAGCTGCCACCAGCCCAGTGGTTCCTCCCTGGAGACTTCCACCTGCCCTTCTCCACCCAACAGCTCCCAAGACCTGTTTTTTCTGGCTGTTTCTGGACTGCCATCACCCCTGCTCACATGTCAGCCACAATGCCAACTTCCTCTGGCACACCTGCTATGGCCTCACCCATGATCCCTGGCCAGGACACAGGAGACAGAAAGGGAGAACCTTGGTCCCTCCTATCCCTTCTCCCCATCTGCCAGAGGCAGAGGAGTCCTGGTGATCCCAGATGGGGCTCTTTGACTTCCTTCAACCTACCCCTACCCCATTAGACCTGGTATGCCTTGAATTGTTCTGAAGCTAAGAAGGAGGCAAGTGAGGTCTTGGCAAGTAGGGCCAGAGGAGTGACTCTCCTTCCCAGGAGTGACTCTCCTTCTTAACCCAGGGGAGCTGTGTGGGTCCCAGCACAGGCTTCTGGAATAGAAAATACAGCAGACTCCAGTATTCCTCATAGGCATAGCCCTTAGGAACTTGAGGCTAGGTCCAACTCCCCATCACAAGGTAGCACCAGCTGGGCCCCACTCATCCAGGGAGACTGAAGAGGGATGGAGGACTCCCAACCCAAGCTGGAGAGAGTAACAGACACCAGTGGGCTAGCTCTGTGCTTTAAGGAGATGCCCTCTTACCTCTGTCCAGGATCTCACGGCTCATAAAGAGACAAAGTTGTTAGAGCCATGGCACTAACACGCCATGTGGAGGAGCCACCAAGAAGCCATGATGGAGTCCTCAAAGCAGACTTAGCCTTAGGCAAAATGGAAAACAGTTTTGGGTCAGACTTGGGTCAGGGCCAGGGTTCAGTCTGAGGCTAGGATTAGGATTCAGCCTGAGATTGGGATTGGGACTGAGGGTGGGGTTGGGGCTCAGTCTGGGGGTAGGAGTGAGGCTCAGTCTAGAGCCAGGATCATGGCTCATTTGGAACTGGGAACCCCTCCAGGGCAAGAGCAGGTTCAATCAAGTGCCTGGATCCTGCTTGATCCCATGCTCTTAAAGTCTGGTGGACAAGAGGAAAGCCCTAAAGGAGGCTGATGGATCCCTTCCCATCTCTGTTCACAGGGTGGCTGGGCAGCCGGGTTGCAGCGGGAGGAATGCATCTTTCTGCAGAAGATTGAGATGGACCACAAGCAGTGCCTACTGGAGGCCCAGTTGGAGAATGAGACAGCAGGTGATACCCTCAGGCTGAGCCCAGTGGGAAGAGAGGAGCTGTAGACCCCCAATGACCCCATTTTTCCTTATGTCACAAGAGCAGATCCAAGTCACATTCATTCCATGTTTGTTCGATGAGGGCCACAGTGAGGGGAACACCTGGGTGATACGGAGAGGATTCTAGGAGAAATTGGGAAAGCCAGTGGAATAAGAAAGGGATTGACAGATTCCCATGTTCCCATCACCTGTCTCAGGTCTGGGGAGCTCCCAGCCATTAGCTGAGGGAAACAAACTAAACTGGGGTTCTGAAAAGTGACTGGGGCCAACTCTGCCTTAGAAGATCCTTACAGTTCTTGTCCAGGAAAAGTGAGGATAATGCCCATGGCTGCCAGCCCATCCAGGTTGAGAAGGCCCAGGGTGCTGCATGGTGGGGCCCTATGGACAACGAATGCAGTTCAAAGAGAATCTGGGACAGCTCAATGGTGGGAACACTCCTGGATCATGTTTCTCAGCCTCTGAGAAACTGAGAAACTTAGCTGGAGCTGAGGTGGAAAGAACTGGCCTTAAGACACCACATTCTGGAATTAGACCATTATACTGTGTTAGGATCTCAGAGGGGAACATTTGGTGACAGTGTGTGACCCCACAGGACCACATGGAACTCAGAGCCATCTTGGCTGACTACAGAGAGAGGGAGGGACACCAAGCTAGTCTGCACAGGTCTGGAATACTCATCACCATGAGGAAACTGAAGCTTCCTTCATCCTAATAGGAAGTTCTGCCAACACTATGACCCCGAGAAGGCAGTGACAACAAACACACAAGCACCTAGGGGACACAGGCACACATGCAACCTCCCTGTCCCAACCCACTCTCAGATGAACCGTGGCTTATTATCCTGCTAATTAGATAAGCCAAGGCCATATTCAGAAGCTGAGCACATGGGAGCCTCAGGAGGTCTGGGCTCACCTGGATGCGTGAAGGCACCCTGAGGTTGAGGTGGCCCAACAGCTCAGACCCAGTGGGACTATCAGGCCAGATGATGGCCACCCTCTACTCTTTACTCCCCACTACCCCATGGGCCAAGGAAGGTTGGGCAATCTACTTCCGTAGTGATACTGCCTTGGAAACCCAAGGAGGGGTTGCTATGTGTTGATTGGACTTGACAGCACATAACAACAACAAGAACCCCATGGGCCCAGCACCTTGCTCAGCAGCCTGGGGGTAAATATAGGAGGAATTAGAGGACTTCCTTCCAAAGGTAGCACTTGAGCCAGACTTAGAAAGATGGGCAGGGTTTGGAGAGGGAGAGATGGTGGCAAGGTGGCGGCACCAAGGCAGGGTGCATGGTGAGAAGTCAGGAGAGATGTCAGGTTCAGTACTCACTAAGGGGAATGGGTGGGGCTGGCACTTAGGGCTGGTGGCTGTGAAGTGGCTGATCTGGCTCTGAGCCTCCCTCCCAAGTCGTCTCCCCAGGCTCTAAGCTCAAGTTATGTAAAAGCCACACTCTCCCCGGAGCTTCTTTGTGTCTTCCCAGCCCATCTCCCTCTCTACCACCTCTCTGAGACTGGCATTTTTGTAACTACTTCCTGTCCCTCCTTTTTGGCCCAGGTGCCCAGTCTCTCTGCATCCTACCCCTTAAGTGTGTGTGTAGCCTCACGGACAGGCTTCACCTCCCCACGTCTCAAGGAGGGATGGCCCCCTGTCTCAAGGAGCCCTGAGACTGAAGCTTGGGCCAAGGTGCATATGCACTCCATCCCTACCCCAGCAGGGCAGAGAGGCAGGGCTCAGCTATAGGCAGCCCCTATAGACAATGGGATTGTGGGCAGCCCAGAGAGACCCAGACCTCAGACTCTAGATCCCACTGCAGTGCCTTCCAACCCTGGAGGGCAGGCCACTCTCATGATCCTGGTGAGATCATTGCTGGCGCAGGGTGCCAGTTGCATGCCAGCACACTGTCACCAGGCAGCCAGCCTGGGTTCCAGAGGAGGGCAGGGCTATGGGCTGTGGGTCTCTCCATGACCTTGATAAGGCTGTGTGTGTATTCACATACAACCAGGTGCATACTCCTGGTCCCTGTCTGTCTGGGGCTATATCTGTGCCTCTGGGGTCTGTAGCTCTGTGTGTCTGACTCTGGGCAACTTTGTATGTCTGGGTGTGTGTTTGTTTAAGCCTGGACATACCTCAGTGTGTCTGCCTGATGAGCTAGCTGTGTCTGTGTGTGTGTGTGTGTGTGTCAGTGAGAATGTCTGTCTGTCTCTGCTTTGTATGCTCAGACGTGTCTACTTGCATGTCTGTGAGTTGTATGTCACTCTGTGCCTGTGTTTGCTGATGACTGTGATCTTTCTGTATCCAGGCAAGTGTGCATGTGTATACATGTGCATATAGGCAACTCCTTGTTCCTTGTGCCTGGAAGTGCTTGTTAATGTGTATATCTCTGGTGTACACACAAGTCTATAAAATGGAACAGCAGAACCCCCACCCCAGGTTATGTCCAGTTTGGGCTTTCCTGTTGGGGCCACTGCCCACAATGGGTATACAAAGCCAGCATGAGCCCTGTATCCCTGTGGGCCAGGTGACACACATGATGGAGTCTCATGGTGCAGTGGTTAAGGCATTTGGCTGCTAACCAAAAGGTTGGTGGTTCGAACCCACTAGCCGCTTTATGGGAGAAAGATGAGACAGTTTGCTTCCATAAAGAATTATAGCCTTAGAAACCCAATGGGGGTCGCTATGAGTTGGAATTGACTCAATGGTAGTAAGTTTGGTTGTTTTGGGTGGGGCCTCCCTGGACAGGCACACAGAGAATCCTCCCAAGGTCCAGCCCAGAACAACACACCCTCCAGGTGCCAAGGACTTCATGGACCCCCTCCTCAGCTTCTTGCTGCCTCAACAAACCGGCCCCATTTTGCCTCCTGCAGGACTTCCCTGACTGTAGCCCCATATTGACCTCTGTTCCCTGGCTGCCTGCTCTGCTTGCCCCCCTATGCTCTAGCAGTAGCTGCCAGCCAAGCCTCAATTGTGCTGAGGTCCCTAGAGGCCGAGCGTAGTCTCCCCAAGAATAGAATCAGTCTCTCTCTCCTCTCTCCCACCTCTGGTGAAGCTGAGCTCAGAACTGGAGACCCATCCCCAAATCCACCCCTTGGGCTGTGCTGGCAGCTGGAGGTTCAGGGACAGCCCAGAGTGTAGGAGGAACCAGACACAGTACCTGGCCCACAAAGCAGGGTGTGCTCTGCTCTTTCAGAAACAAGTCAACAAAGTCCAGAAGCAACAGCAAAATTCCCAGAGAAATGAGACGGAGAAATTTAGATGGGGAAGAGTGGGAAGGGCTTGCTGGAGATGGAGCTTGTGAACAGGCTGTACACTCATCAGTGATGGGACCTTGGGCAAGTCATCTGACCTCTCTGTGCCTCAGTCTCTTCATGTGTAAAATGAGAGAGTTAAATAAGTGATTCATTTAAAGACGTTAGAACAGTGTTTGGCACAAGGACTATGCACAAGGGCTGATTTTATTAACAGGGCCTTGAACCCTGAGTAGATTCAGCTAAAGCATGGCTTCCACTGAGCCTGGCCAGGAATGAAGGGGGTCTTACACCAGGGTGAGGCCACAGGAGCCCTCAGGACAGGTTAGGACAAAAGAGGCTGGCATCCTCACAGAAGGGAGCCCATACTCTCTGGCTGGGCCCCAGGGATCCAGGTGTCCAGCTTTCTGCCCCAGATGACACCTGCAGTCCCAGAGGGTACTCCTTCCTACTGCTAGCCCACCCACCACTAAGAATCCTGCAGCTCTTCCCCACTTGGGGACATCCCTCCACCTCCTCTTCCCAGGCCCACTTCTTGGGAACTTTGGAACCTTCGGACCTGGGCTGGGTTGGGCTGGGCTGGGCTGGCTGGCATTGACTTTGGCTCAGGGGTTGGGTTTTCTGAACAAACCTATGGGACTGACAATTGCAAAGAGACAATTAAACCTCTCTCAGGGCAGAGAGTCGGAATAGCTTTAGTCCCTCTGGGACACCTGGCGCCTGAACGCAAAGCCAGAGCTTTTGCATCTGCCTGTTAAAGCATACATTAAGACCCACCCACACACCCTTCACCAGCCAGGCCACTGCAGGGCTAACTAATAGCTATATGAAGAAGAAGGCAGCCTGCGATGCAAAAACCAAAAAGAACAAACTCACTGCGTTGGAGTCAGATCTGACTCATAGAGACCCTTCCTTGGGTTTCTGAGGCAGTATCACTACGGAAGTAGATTGCCCAACCTTCCTTCTGAGGAGTGGCTGGTGGGTTCAAACCACCAGCCAAATGCCTTAAGCACTATACCACCAGAGCTCCTCCTATGGAGCAAGAGGGAGATAATCGCTGAACCCAAAGCCCTGAGGCCTTCCCAAATCACAATTCCCAATTTAACTGAGTTAGGGTATCTGGTGCTTTGTGAGTTCTGTGAGGATTCCTCAAGAACTAGCCCAACCTCAATACACCCAAACTCAAAAAAACAAATTCACTGCTGTCAAGTCAATTGACTCATAGAGACCACTGCTTGGGCTTCTGAGGCGGTATCTCTACGGAAGTAGATTGCCCAATCTTCCTTCCAAGGAGTGGCTGGTGAGTTTGAACTGCCAGCCTTCTGGTTAGCACTCAAATGCCTTCGGCATTATGCCACCAGAGCTCCCTCAATACACCCATCACCCCATATACTCAACACCTCCTTTTATAACAAATATTTTCTAATGCCTCCTTTACTATCCTGAAATAAAATTCGGGATATACATACATACATATATATAAATAAAATTCAGGATATACACACATACATACATATATATGTATGTGTGTGTGTGTATATATATGTGTGTGTGTGTGTGTGTGTGTGTATGTGTGTATATATATGTATGTGTGTATATATACATGTATATATATTTCTGGGAGCTCTGGTAGCATAGTGCCTAAGGCACTTGACTGCTAACCAGAAGGCTGGCGGTTCAAACCCACCAGCCACTCCTCGGAAGGAAGGTTGGGCAATCCTACTTCCGTAGTGATACTGCCTTGGAAACCCAAGGAGGGGTCGCTATGAGTCGGGGTCGACTCGATGGCACATAACAACAACAACAACAACATATATATTTCTAGCTATAATGTAAAAGAAAAATTAAAAAAGAAAGCTATTTATAATAAGGGAGCTCTGGTGGCATAGTGCCTAAGGCATCTGACTGCTAACCAGAAGGCTGGTGGTTCAAACCCACCAGCCACTCCTCGGAAGGAAGGTTGGTCAATCTACTTCTGTGGTGATATCACCTTGGAAACCCAAAGAGGGTCGCTATGAGTCAGACCTGACTCAACGACAGTGGGTTTGTTTTTGGGTTTGGTATTTATAATAAAATACTACATATATGTTCAGACACAATTGCAATAGAAATCTGAAGGTTGTACCTATAACTATAAATACTGGGAAAGTGAGAGCTATAAAAATGGACTGAGATATACAGGTGGTTGTGCATCAGTGACTCAAATATGGGCAGTACTATTGTCAGTAATACGATTTTCCAAAACATTGAACAACTCTGTAAAGTTCACAGCAAAACAAAGTACAGTCTTCTCTCCCTTTATTCAGTTGTACTCCTGGAAAAGTCCATGTATGTTAAACTTGTGCACTAAGTACCTTGTGTTACATGTAAAGGTCCTGGGTGGCACTTGCTTACTAACTTAAAGGTTGGCTATTGAAAGCCATCCAGCTGTGCTATGGAAGAAATGTTTGGCATCTGCCTCTGTAAAGATTACAGCCAAGAAAATCCTGTAGAGTAGTTCTACTCTGTAACACATGGGGTCTCTATTAGTTGGCATCAACTCGATGGCAACATGTTTGGTTTTTTAGGATTTTGATTATATGTATAATGGAGTAAGAGTCTAGGTTCTGGCCATTACAAAAGGTTTTCACCTACACAAATGTCCAGTGGCTCATTTGAAAGACATGTGGAACATGAGACAATTTATCACTGTGCGAGACCTCCCAGGATGCCTATGTGGCATCCCTGGTGCACACTCATCAAACGCCAGGTAAGCCCCCAATCACTGCAACAAACAAAACCTCAACTCTGCTTTCAACATCTCTAGGGGGAGGTCTATCTGTCACTGAGGACCATGGAGCTAGAACCATGCTTTCCCTGTCAAGCTAGGGCTGTGCCTCCTCCCTAAGATTGGAGGCTGCTCAAGGCAGGATGCTGGATTCCCCCAGCCTTGCAGGAGAAGGAGAAGGAAATGGGTGCCTGTGAGCTCACCAGGCTGGAGGCACCTGGGACCATGCTGACCTCCATGTCCTCTGCCTTCACCCCACAGGCTGCAGCAAGATGTGGGACAACCTCACTTGCTGGCCGGCTACCCCTAGGGGTCAGGTGGTCGTCTTGAGCTGCCCCCTCATCTTCACACTCTTTTCTTCCAGTCAAGGTAAGAGCTATGGGTTAAAAGGAGGGAGCTGGGGTGGTGTGATTGCAGCTGCTGTAGGGGGACTTAGCTCTCAAGCAAATGGAAAGGTAAAGGAGCATGACCAAGGGGGTTGGAGCAATCAGGTGTGCCCTGGTAGAGGCAGTGATGGTGTTGGGTCTTTGAAGAACTTGTGGGATTTGATTAGCTCTTTAGGTAAGGATAAGTGCGTGGGAAGGACTCACTAAACATTTGCTCACCAATTGATAACCAATTGACTGGCAGGTACTCGATTATATTATGGCTCCTGTGTTCCCGTTGTCTTGGGTTGGTCATGATTCTGTCATTTGCTGCCTAGAGCTGATGACCTTTTGGCCTCTGTGAAACTGTCACAGGGCTTTGATTACACACCTTGTCATGTTCTGCTTAAATGAGTATCCACATATAAAGGAGGTGGAAGAAAGAAAACAGATGAAGCCTCATTAGGAAGTAGGCTTTCCTGTAAGGCTTACTCATAGCATGTATTCAGTCCTCCTTTCATGTAATGAATATTTATTGAGGTCTACTAATGTCCCAGACACTGTGCTAGATGAAGCACTAGGAGGTGGGGGACAAAACACACATACCCCTGCCTGCCCTCATGGAGCAAACGTTTTAGCTGGGGAGAGGTTTAACAAGAAAACAAACAGATATCATAAATAGTATGAAGTACTAGGAGGGAGAATAACGGGGGACTACCAGCCACTCCTCGGAAGGAAGATGGGGCAATCTTATTCTGTAGTGATACTGCCTCGGAAACCCAAGGAGGGGTCGCTATGCATTGGATCCAACTTGACGGCACATAACAACAACAACATGTAAGGAGCTGGAGCTCTGGTAGCGTAGTGCCTAAGGCATTTGACTGCTAACCAGAAGGCTGACAGTTCAAACCCACCAGCCACTCCTCGGAAGGAAGGTTGGGCAATTTACTTCCGTAGTGATACTGCCTCGGAAACCCAAGGAGGGGTCACTATGAGTCAGGTCTGACTTGACAGCACATAACAACAACAACAATGAGGAGCAGGCATGTGATTGAGAGACTAGAGGGAGGACCAGGAATGGGTGGGGAGGACTGCTGAGGAGCAGGACCTGAATAAGGATTCAGAAGGTGAGCAGCATGTGAGCAGAAAGACTGTTGGGCTTCACTGCAGGTGGCTTTCCCTTTCTGGACCTCAGTTTCTCTGTAAAGTGGTGATGGTCTCTTTGGGGTGGACAGCTTAGCCCCCCAGTGCTCAGTGCTATGGCCTAAACCCTGAAGGGGAAACCTTGATGCCCTCCCTGAGGTTTACCATATTCCAGGCTGGTACCTACTTAGCCCCACCCTCCTCCAAGGGAGCCCAGCACCTGGGCTGGGCAGGAGAGGAGTTCCTCAGCAGGTCCCACTTGCAGAGCCTGGCAACCAGCCTTCTCTCAGATCCCTGAGAGCACCTGATAATTGCATTCCTCTCTTATGCTTTCTTAATTGCATCCCTCCCTGATGGCTCTTCCTTCTGTCTTTGTTGGAATGTCACTGCTGGAAGCTTCTTCACTTGAGAACCTGGAATCTAGCCCACCATCTGGCTAACTCTGAGGCTGCTGGCCTAAGCCCCTTGAGGAAGGGGGAAGGGCAGTTAGGAAACCAGGATCCTTGCACTACAGTGAGGCCTGCTCCAGTCAGACTGGACTCCTTCTGGACCAATCTTGGCCACTCCATCTCTAGGATGTTGTAGTCATACTGGAGCATGATGAGCCTAAAAGGTGCCTTTGTGCAGTTTAAAAAAAAAAAGTGTCCCTCAAATCTGGGCCACAATAGATAGACCCTTATATGGAGAAAAATGTGGAACAGAACCTCAAAGCCCTAAAAAAAAAAAGACCTGCTGGATTAGTTGAGACTGGAGGACTCCCCGAGACTTGACAGCGCAAGAATATCGTCCTGCGATATTCTTTAAACCTTGAACTGAAACTAACTCCTGAGGTTACCTTGAAGCTAAGAAATTGGCTCAAAAAATAATTATTATCACCCATAAGTACTGTGCTCCTTAAAAAATCACCTATATGAAACCAAATGGTCAAACAATTACTTTAAAGCAAAGATGAGAATGTAAGTGGGCAGGGAAACAAGATTAATGGAAATGGAACAAACAGAACAGAAATAATGAGAATGTTAATGTATTGTGAGGAATGTAGCCAGTGTCACTGAACAACTTGTGTAGAAATTGTTGAGTGGGAACCTAAATTGCTGTGTAAACTTTCACTGAAAATACAATAAAATACTAAACAAACAACAATAAAAAAAAAAAAAAAAGTGCTCCTTCCTCAGGTGAGCCCATCAGTGACCAACTGACTGCAAGCTGGATCTCAGTTGCCATCATCCATTAACCAGGTGCCCTTGTGCAGTGAACACCCAACATAGCTATACATGAGGGCCCTGAAAAATGATAGAAAGAAAGAGGAAATTGTATATCAGGGACTGAAGACATAGAGGAAAGAAGATGTGTTTCGTGGGCAACTAGATAAGGAAGATGTGAGCAACTGACCTTAAGTTCCAAAGAGGAAAGTTTGCAAGTGTGGGAATTGCAGAGCAGGAATGCAGCCAACCCCAACTGATGCGTCTTCTTTGAGTAGCAGGACTGGAGAAGATGTGTTATCCCTAGAGACTAGAGAGGCTGAAAGGATTGGAAGGGACCTGGTTCTTCAGAGAAATCTGAAGAAAGCTTGAAAAAGATAAAGACTCATGCAGGATTAGAAAGAAGTCATCTACCCAGGTTGGGTAAAAAAAAGGTGGAGGGGGGCCTGGGATTACTCATCATGGTACCAAAATATTCATGATGGCTTATTCCTTTGATTTATGGTCGGCATATCTTCCATCTGTGGTATTTTTGCCTTCAAATATTTTTATAGACTTTTTTTAGAATAAAAAAATAGGATAGCTATTTTCATTGGGTAAACTCAACATGGCTCATGCATGAGTCAGAATCAACTAGATGCAACTAATAACAACAACAACAAACTCAACATACAGTCTATGTTAATCATGTCTATGGGGTCTATGAGACATCTCCAACACTGCCACCTACATCATGAAGCCATGAATAAAAAAGTCTTGATGCCAATCCAAGTTTGGTTCCCTTGCTGTTGGAGCCAGGGCATCATTGACAGGATTTCAGCAGAAGAGACCATGATCAGGTCAGGGTTTTAGAACAATTCTTTCTGCTGACTTGAGGCAGAACGTGGGCAGGAAAGTAAGGGAGACCCATCAGGAAGCTCCTACCTAATCCAGGGTAGACCAAATGGTGGCCCAACCTAGGAAGGCATTATTAAAGAAAGGAAAACTGGGACAAAACTGATGACTTAAGGGAGGCTAGAAGACATGACCCCCTACTCTGATTTCTGGCTCCAGTCATTATGTGGTACCTTTCAGGCAATGGAGTACCCTTGGAGGAATGGTAGGGGTTGTCTTTTTGAGACAGGGTGAGAGGAGACTGGAAGAATGTGGGGCTTCCCACCTAGCTCAGGGCTAAAGTTCTTCCCCAAATCCCCCTCCAGACACACAAGGCCTGCTGGTTCCCAGGCCCAGACTGCTTCTCAGGATCCCATGGTGACTACCTTTGAGATCTCTTGAGAGGAGTCTCCTTTGAGGCCTTCAAAGAGCTCTTCAAAGAGACTGCACAGCCCTCTGAAGATGGCCCATACTTCCTCCTTTCCGCTACCATCAAGGGAAACCAGAAGCTCCTGGCAACAGAATGCCCCTTCAGTCACTGCTAGGAGCCCAAGAAGCTCCCAGAGTCAGGCTGACCAGAGTCTGTGTCTCAAGACTGACCCTTCCTTACTGTGTGACCATGGAAAAGTCATTTAACCTCTCTTAACCTTGAGATCACCTTCTTTTAGTGGAGGTAATGAAATTCCTCATCAGTGTGATGCATTAATGTTTGCATTCCCTACATAAGGAATATAAAGTTGCTTTGTAGACACTAATGACCCAGCGTTACTCGTGAAATTCATGTTGTTATTGTTATTTTGTAATGACAAGTCAATTTCAACTCATAGCAACCCATATTACCATTAACACCAAACACCAGGCTACAGATAAACACATAAACATCTGAGAAGATCAGATGGGGGTCAGTGAACAGGATTACACTCTAGACCAAGGATAGATTCAGCTGAGGCTAATCTTGCACAGATACCAGTGATACAAAATACCCACAATCCTTACAGAAACAGCAGAAGACAGACATAGAGCAATTCCTCACAGATAGCCAGACACTGTGGGAGAGAGATCCAACAGATCTACTGACTCAGGACCATAGGATTGGGGAACACCAGACACAATTGGCACAACAAAATACATAAAAATCTTGTTCCACAACCTACATCAGTGAGTAGCGACTGGGGTCTTAAAAGCTTTCAAGTGGCCATCTAAGATGCAGCTAATGGTCTCCTATCAGTGAAGAAGAGTGCAAAAAAAAACAAAGACATTTGGAAGCAACATAGGACATGATGGACCTTGAGACCTGAAGAACTAGATGGTGCCTGGCTACCAATGCCAACCACTTGGGAAAGGATAAAAACTGGAGATCCTGGATAGAGTGGGAGGAAAAACGTGGAACAAAATCCAAAACACAATAATGACCAGAATTACTGGTCAGATTGAGTCTGGTGAGACCCCAATACTATGGCCCTGGGATACACTTCAGGCCTAGAATAAAACTCACTCCCAGGGCTCTCAGCCCAATAGTAAACAAGACAGACTCACAGACCACTCAACCCAGGGTGATGTACCCACATACTCTATGGAGATGCATCCCTTGGAGCAACTGACCACAGGGCACCAGAGGGGCAACATTCGCATGTTCGCATGGAGGAAATGCAGGACACACAGGGGTGCATAACTATGAGGGGCACTGGGGAGGGGGTTACTGGAAAGGGAGGGGAGGAGACTGGGTTAGGGTTGGGCATGGTAATTGGGGGGTGAAAGCAAATGTACATGAAATGTTGAATGTAAAACAAACTCTGCTCTGTAAATTTGCACCTAAAGGACAATTTAAAAAGAAAAAGCTTCAATAAATAAATAGCTGATTTTCGGAAGTCATTGCCAGGTCTTCCTTCCAAGGTGCCTCTGGATAGGCTTGAAACACCAATCTTACAATAACCAAGCATTTAACAGTTTGCACCACTCAGGAACTCCATAAATATACCAGTTGCCCACTGTGTCTTTGGGCCTGACCTCATCAAGTCCTGTTCCTTCCAGTGAATGGGGGGTCCAAATCCCAAGACTTTAGTTTTCCAGCTTCAAGGCTGGTTGTTTTGGCCTTGTCCCCACTTTTATACTCTCCCTAGCCTGGTAGGGGAGCAGATTCCCAAGAGAATGTGATGTTAAGGGGTGGGCAATGGCCTCAAAGTGAACTAGCTGACGGAGTTCTTTAGAACTGGAGATGAAGCAAGAACTGGTTTGATGAAAGGTGGATTGAAAGGCTCAGCCAGGCCCACCTTTGGCTGCAGCAGTGGGAAACCAAGGAGCAACTGGAGACTTTTGTCCCAGAGGCTTCTTGCAGCAGTGCGGTATTGGAGGCATGAGCAGAATAGGGGCTGCCAAAGAAGGAAACCAGTGCAACCCAACGCTCCTCCCTGCCCTCCCTTGAGGCCATGCAGTGGAAACAGACCCAGATTAGGGTCAAATTTCTGTCCTGCTCCTTCTTGACTATCTCTTCCTCGCCCTTCAGCCATCCCTCAGTTCCTCATCCATAAAATGGGATGTCAAAACCTCTTTCAAAGGGTAGCAAAGAGGATTTATGGAAATAATTAATTTAGACCCATCTGGTATATTCAAGGTCACACATGCACAGTGACCCTCTTTAAGCTCACAGGACAGCTTAACCCCACCTGTGGTCCTGCACCTGAACACCCAAAACAGGTTATCTGAGAAGACTCTGGGACCCAGACTTTCTGTACCATGTCCTCTCTGTGTGGCTTTGGACAAGTGACCAGCCACTTGAAGCCTCCACTTCTAAACTGTGAAATGAGGTTACCTTCTGCATTGGATGGTAAAGGAGATTAAACAAGATACTGCGCATAAAATGCATTGTACAGCACTGACTCATAAAAAGTTCTTGGAACTTGTCATTGTAATGAAGCTGATAATGATGGTGACGGTGATAGTGATGATGGTGGAACCCATGAGAAAAGAACTAGAGGGCAGAGGTATTAGGAGCCATCTCCTTCCTCATCTCTTCCTCCTCTCCTACCTTTCTCTCCCTACAACTATTCCTTCCCTCCTCTTCCTCCTACCCTTTCTCCTCTTTCCTCCTTCTCCCTCCTTTCCCTGCCTCCCCTTCCTCTCCTCCTTCTGCCTCCCTTCCACCCCAACAAGACCAGCTTTCTCCTGGACTCAAGTGCCTCTTAATGAGTCTTGGGATGAGGAGAAGGGGTTTTCTCTAGCTTACCCATTGTCCATTTAACCCTTCTTCTCCCTGCAGGAGACAGGACACGTCCCCAGCACTGGAGAATAAGGGCCTCAGTGGTACCCATTGCCTCACATACTGCCTTAGCAGTCCTGTCCCTTTGCTGCAGCCACTCTTTAGGACTGCAGGGAGCACAGCTGCCCTGGAGCCCCAGCCTCAACTTGTTTCTGCCCCAAGATCCTCCAGTGCTGTGCAGCTTGACTCCCTTTGCACACACTACCAGGAACCCCATGGTTCTCCATTGATAAGGATTTCAGATCTGTGCCTTTATCAGGTGGCCTCCCCTACCCGCACCATTGGTTCATCTCCAGAAGCACCTCTGAGCCACACTGGATGTGGGAGGCAACCCAGGCCCAAGGCTACAAAGCTGGCAGACCAAGGAGGACCAAGCAGGCCCAGACCCCACACCCCCAGGTACTCTGTGGTCCTGCATATCTAAGGCCAGGGTCCAACCTCCATCTATGACAAGGATCAGCATTCAGCTAGTAGCAAATGTCAAGGGCCATTCTGTGACAAGGATCTAGCCTTGGTCTGTGACAAAGTCAGAGTTTATATTGCACCTCGGGTCAGGTTTGTACCATGACAAGGGGCAGGACTGAGCCAAGGATTGTGCTCTGCCTCTGTCGTCTGTGTTGGTGGGTATCCAGAGACTGTGGAGGGGTTTCTCCCTGCCCCAGGTTCCCCTATGATGCCCTGGGTGTCCAGGTCAAGACAGCTGGAGCCTGACAGCACCAGGGGTTGGTGGAAGTGGGGCTGAGTTCTCTGTGCCAAGCAGAGACAGACAGACCTCCCTACCCCTGCCCTCCCCCAGGCCTCAATGTGAGCCGCAGCTGCACCGAAGAGGGTTGGACACAACTGGAGCCTGGCCCATACCCTATTGCCTGTGGCTTGGATGACAAGGCATCAAGTTTGGACGAGGTGGGCCTTAGAGCACCCCTACCTAATCCCTAGAGCCTTAGGCACTCACCCCTAGAGCATCCTAGCCTGCTAGTTCCTGTCACCTACCCCCACTAAGGGATGAGGTTGCTGTCTGTGTGGGAACCAGGACTCCTGAGGTTTGCCCTACCCAAGCCTTCTCCCTCTTCAGGCCTGCATATCTGGGGGCTTATCCTCTGGCTACTCCCAACAGGGTATGAAAGGGAGCTTTCATGAAGGTGACATGTAGGAGGGGATCCCCACAGCAGCCAAGCTGCAGCAGCAGCCCCAAGCAAAGCTACCTTGCTGCTTTGTGGGAGCCTCAGGGCAGGCAGATACTCTCATGCCCATCCAGAAGGGAAACCAAGGTACAGATCCTGAAAGGAACTAGCCTCAGTTACCCAAGAGCCAGTAGGGTCAGGGATAGAAAAAAGACCTCAGTCCCAGGCTAGGGATCTGCCTCCAGAGCAGGTTCAACATAGGGGATCTCTGTAAGGATTTGAGCCCAAGAGACAGATAGGTACATTGATGGGAGAGTGGAGTATAATTGGAGTCCTCAGCTCTGGTGTGCAAATGCATGTGTCTACCTGTCTGTCTGTCTGTGATGGCATCTGCCCCATCCCCAGACAGCCTTCTCAGTTGGGGCTTCTGCTTCTCCAAGGGGGCAGCAGTTTCCTTAGAAGCCATTGAAGCCCACTGGAGCCTCAGACCCAAATTCCCCTAACCAAAAAAAAAAAAAGAGTCGGACCCCTCCTTGGGTTTCTGAGGCAGTATCTGGTAGCATAGTGCCTAAGGCACTTCACTGCTAACCAGAAGGCTGACGGTTCAAACCCACCAGCCACTCCTCGGAAGGAAGGTTGGGCATTCCTACTTCCGTAGTGATACTGCTTCAGAAACCCAAGGAGGGGTCACTATGAGTCGGGGCTGACTCGATGGCAAATAACAACAACAACATCACTACAGAAGTAGATTGCCCAATCTTCCTTCCAAGGAGTAGCTGGTGGGTTTAAACTGCGAACCTTCTGGTTACCAGTCAAATCCCTTAAGCACTAGGTCACCAGAGCTCCTTTAGAGCCCTCTTAACCATTTGCTTGTAATCAAGCAGGGATGGGAAATGGAGAAGAGGGAGGGGCCTTGCCCAGTGACTGTTGTTGTTGTTATGTGCCGTCAAGTCGGACCCAACTCATAGCGACCCCTCCTTGGGTTTCTTAGGCAGTATCACTACAGAAGTAGATTGCCCCATCTTCCTTCTGAGGATTGGCTGGTGGGTTTGAACCACCAGCCTTCTGGTTAGCAGTCAAGTGCCTTAGGCACTATGCTACCAGAGCCCAGTGACTATCACTCAGCATATGTGAACATAAGGAGGGCATGGGGAGAAAGGGTCCAACAAGAAACCCTTTTGGGCCCAGGTTTGTCTGTTTCCCCCAGGAAGGACAGATTGTCTCATCCTACTGCCCCCAGCCCAAGAGCCCAAAATGGGAAATTAGCCCCACAATGTCTTCTTTAACATTTTACATTCCCTGAATATCTTTCCTCGCCACACAGTGTGGGGACCTCATGTGGGGGTCTGCAAAGCAGAGTCTCAGTCCCCTAGGATGTTGAGCCCAGAGTGAGGCATACAAAGGGTGCTGAACACATGACTGGAGAATGAATGAATGAGCAAATGAACAAATGGAATATGTGGGGTCTTCACTCTTTCCCTCTGTGACATATCCCTTCTGAAGAAACAGTGAGAGGGAGTTTAATTCAACCCCCACCCCCACCCTGAGAAGCAGTCCTATCCTATCTATGGAATCTGGTAGTGAAGGGGCCAGGGATCTGAAGAGCTCTCCTTAGTGGCTCTGGGCCTCAGCCTCCTCATGTACCCAAGGCAAGGATGGAAACACAGTGTGTAGGGCCCCTCACTCCTGCCAACATCCCTTAGGGGGTGCCCATACCCACATAAGATCCTTGCCCTGCTCCCTCTAGCAACAGCAGACAATATTCTACAATACTGTGAAGACTGGCTACACCATCGGCTACAGCCTATCCCTTGCAGCCCTTCTGATCGCCATGGCTATCTTGAGCTTGTTCAGGTGAGGCCCAGGTGGAGCAACAGGTCTCAGAACAGATCTGCCCAACATCACCCGCCAGGCAGCACATAGTCCCCTGCTTCAACCCCTGCCAGGCCAGCCACCCCTGGAGAAGGCAGGGGACTCTAGAGGTGCCCACAGCCTAGTCCCACATAGGAACGGCCCTGCATGTGGGGATGGGGCTCCCAGGAGCAGAGCCTGCACTGGGGATACAGCACCAGGGGCAGGGCTGAATATAGGGATGAGATAGGTGAGGACAGGGCCCACATGCAAGATGAGACCCCATTTGGGGCAGAGCCTGCACTTAGAGCCTATGTCCTGCCTCATCCCATTTTTGCTCAGAACTCCAAATATTATTAGTTGGGGTGGGGGTCCACGGCCCCTTTGGCCTCTTAGACCTGCCTGACTTGCGCAGGAAGCTCCACTGCACGAGGAACTACATCCACATGCACCTCTTCATGTCCTTCATCCTGAGGGCTGCCGCCGTCTTCATCAAAGACTTGGCCCTATTCAACAGCGGGGAATCAGACCACTGCTCTGCGGGCTCGGTGAGGATCCCCATCCAGCCTACAACCCTAGGTTTCGCCTTCTTCTCTGACTTGAATCTCCTCTTCTATCCCTCTCCCCTTCTGTCCCCCTTTCTTTCTCCCTTTCTCTCTCCCTCCCTTTTATCCTCTCTCTTCCTCCTCTTTTCCCTTCCTCTTTCATCCTTTTCCCCCTTTCTTCCTTCTTTCTTTCCCAAGGGGTGGGCAAACCTCCACTGACCCCCTCCTGGCAGCTCTTCAAAACTCTTCTCAGTGGAAGGAGATGCTGCTTGGCCATCAGCGAGCCCACAGACCTGCCCCTGACAATTTCTCCCCTGGTAGGAAATGGGACATTTCATGCCCAGAGCCCAGATCCCTCACCCCACCTCTGTTGCTAACTGCCCTTGTGAACTTGGGGAACCCCCTGACTCAGTTGCCCCAACTATGTAAATGAGATGCTTGAGGGCTCTGCTCAACAGGCTACCCTTGTCTCCCCTTGTCCCTCCCCTTGTCTTCTCAAGTCACTACACACATGTACATGCAGCACCCCTCTTTTGTTCTTCCCCTGCAGCCAGTCCAGTCTGGGACTTCCTAGGGAAGGGAGATTAAGATGATTATGAATTCATCTCCTGTCACTGAGGGGTCTATCTCCAACTGATTATGAGCTCATGGTCCCATCACTGAGTGCCCTCAGGGTCCAGCTTCTACCTCAAGATCGGGCCAGAGACCAGCCCTGGCCTCCACCCATTCCTTGTGGTCAAATACTCATTGACCATCCCAAGTGACCCCAGAGGCAGTCATTATTTCAGGAGTCAGCAATACCTTCTCCCAAAAGAATGGACTGAGGATGGTGGGACCTCAAGTATCTCAACAAGGGAGAGAGGGAACCCAGGAAAGCAACCTTGGCCATTCCCACAACTCCTCAGAGGATCCAGCCCAGGATCTGGGGGCCACATCAGACAGGTGAAGCGTAAGCCACATAGTCTGGGAGCAGCCTCCAGTGCACTTTGTTAAGGATAATCATGGAGACTGGCTTCCTGATTTATTAGCAGCTCTGTGAAGCTTTTCTAAGGCAAGGAAAAACACAGATAATTGGCTTGTTAAAGAGTAAAGTTATTCTTGTAAAGTAAATGGGGCGGGGAGAAATGCCTGTACCTGGAGGGACTGAAGTGCAACCTGAAGAAGGGCTTTCCAGTCATGGGGAAAGTAGGGAAGGCTGCTCTCTGAGGTTGTCTCAAAGCCAAGGGCACTGGAAGGAAGAGTGGGAACCCATGTTCAGGCTACAGGGAGGAATGGAAGCTAGAAGCTTCTTGGAGGAGGGTGGCTCTAAGCCCTGGCTCACAAGCATCTGAGTTTGATCCAAAATGGAAGACTGTTTCTGACAGGTGACAGAAGGACCCAGAAGACCTTCCAATCGTGTCAGGTGGGCCATCCAGAGCCCCTAGATTGTTCTACTCAGGGATCTCCCTGACTCCTCTGTCATCCTCACTCACTCTTCTACTCCTTTGTCCCATGGGGGAATGACCACCCTTCTGTCACCTCCCTTTTCTCTGTTCTACTTCTCCCTCTTCCCTCTTCTCAGTCCCTGTCTCTCCTCAACTCTGACTCCACTCCAGAGTTTCAGACTTCCACACATTCAGGGGACTCTTGCAAACTCAAGCAAGAATTCTCCCTCATAAATCTTCCAGATACTTTTGATTCTAATTGGCATGAATGACTAGATGGGCTAGGGGTAGTTAAGTATATGGATAGGTAGTAATTGGGTAAATGGGTATGTGAATGGCTGAACAGGTAGAAGGTTAGATGAATAAAGTAAGGAAAGTTGGATAGATGATGGGTATATGTGTAGGTGGGTAGACAGGTGATTGGATGGATGGATGAGTGGATCGATGGGTAGGTAGATGAATAGATGGATGGTTAGGTGGGTGGATTGCAAGTAAGCATCTAGTAGATGGGTATGTAAATGAACAGAGAGGTAGGTATGTGGCGGATGGGTTGATAGATGGGAAGATGAATATATAATTAATTGATGCATGAATGAGAGATGAGATGGTAGTTGATGTCTGGTGGGTGGGTGGGTACATAAATAGATGGGTGGGCGGGCAGTTGGATGGGTAGATGGACAGATAGATAGGAAGGTGACTAGATGATGAATGGATGGATGGAAAATTAAAATTATCAGCTTATCGTAAAGCATCAGATGATCTAAAATCAAGCATACTGGGAAAACTACTGAGGTATTTTAAAGGAGATAATGTAAAACAACAAATAGATTAAGTTGGCTGTACCAAAATGATATATGTCCCTTCAGAGAGAGGTGTGGGCAGGCAGGGACCCCGGCTACCCCTGTGAGCTCCCTTCTTGTTCCTCTCCCTGCAGGTGGGCTGTAAGGCAGCCGTTGTCTTATTCCAGTACTGTGTGATGGCCAACTTCTTCTGGCTGCTGGTGGAGGGACTCTACCTACACACCTTGCTTGCAGTCTCCTTCTCTGAGAGGAAGTACTTCTGGGGGTACATACTCATCGGCTGGGGTATGGTACCAGGGAGGGCTGCCAGGCTGGGGACAGTGGGGTTAGGGCCTGGGGAGCTCACGTGGGGAAGGGCACCAACCCAGCCTGCACACTTAGTGTCTTGCTGGGCTGCAGGTCTTGTCTATAAGGCTCTCAGCCAAAAGTTGGTAAAAAGTCCCTAACTATCTGAGCCCCAGGCAGGTGCCCTCAGACTGCAGCTGCACCTAGGGTTAATTGTGGGGCAGACAGATTTTATGAGTATCCTATCATTTCCCTTTCAGCCCCTGAAACACACAGGGCTGCTGTTTGTCTATAAGGTGTCTTTGTCAAAATTAGAGACTCTCCCTCTAGGTGAACACAGCCCCTCAAGCATACAGCTTCACTCTTCAGTGAAGCATCTTTGCACAACAACCTACGTAGCCATAGGTGGCAGCTCTGGAAACCCACGCACTCTTTCCTCCCTCCCTCCCTGTCTCTGACTCTGTCTTCCTCCTAAATCTCTCCCTCACTCCCTCTGTCTCTGCCTCCTGGGCCCTCTCCTCTTTCTCTCTCTCCTTTGGCTCTGACAGGGGTACCCAGCACCTTCATCATGGTGTGGACCATCATCAGGATCCATTTTGAGGATTATGGGTAAGCTGTCACTCCACCCCCTCCCCCCTTGGTGGGCTGATGATGCTACTGAAGCTTGGCAGTTGGACAAACCACAGCACTTATTCCACATGGGGAGGGCTATAGCTGGAGAGTGCCCTGGGGAGCAACAGACTGTGGACCTGTAGTCTCTAAAGGGTTTAGGGAAGAGCTGGGGACAATTGGGAGGACTCTTATCTTGATAGAGGGACTCTACCTGCACACTCTGCCTAAGCACACCCTCTTATTCTCCCCCATCATCCCCTGCCCAGGTGCTGGGACACCATCACCTCCTCATTGTGGTGGATCATTAAGGCTCCCATCCTCACCTCCATCTTGGTAAGACCTTCTCCTACCACTTAGAGATGGGGAAATGGAGGCCCACACTAGGGAGGGAACTTACTTCAGGTCATACAGGAAATCAGTGTCTAATGTCAGAACTAAAGCCTAGGCTTCCCAATGCCCATTTCAGGATCCTCTCCATATCCTCCCCAAACAGTTCTTCCTCAAGAGTAGAAAAAATAGATGAGGAGGCATAGTCCTCAGGGAGTGAAGTAGAGTTCCCGACTGGCTGCCCAGAGTGGGCACGATAAGGGGAGGGGAAGGAAAGATAGAGGGGCAGCAGGGACCTGAGGGAGAAAACAGGCCATCATCAGCCCAGGGGACTTAGACACCCCCGTCTCCTCTCTCTGACTCCTGACCACAGCCCCACCCACCAGGTGAACTTCATCCTGTTTATCTGCATCATCCGTATCCTGGTTCAGAAACTGCGGCCCCCAGATGTCGGGAAGAGTGATAGCAGCCCATACTCGTGAGTGTGGGCCCAGTGCCCTGGCTCCCCCAGTACCCCCACATCCCAGTCCTCAAATCATCCTACATCCCCTTATGGTCCTCAATCCTAAACTTTCAATAAGCCACATTGCTTTTACGCACCTCTACCCCCCCTGGCCAAACCCACCAGCCACTCCTCAGAAGGAAGGTTGGGCAATCTACTTCCGCAGTGATACCACCTTGAAAAACCAAGTGGGGGTCACTATGAGTTGGGGCCAACTCGATGGCACATAACAACAACAACAACCCCCTGTCCTGGATCAGCCTGTAAGTGTTCCCTACCCAGACCCCACCTTCACCAGGCTGCCTCAGTGCCCCATGTCTGCTTCTTCATGACTCACCTAGCAGATGATCTAACCCAGGTATGCCACTGTTGCCAGGCCAGGGAGATTCAGAAGACATTAAATAATATGTGTCTCCTTCACAACTTGTTCCCAGTAGCTGGCATGTGCCTGTCACAAAGAAAGTGCAATAAATGCCCAGTGGAGGAATGTCATGGGCCCTCAGTCAAAGATTCAGCCATGCTCAGGACTCCGTATTCCTCAATAATAATAATGACATCTACAGTTGACTTAGTGCCAGGCAGGGGCTAAGGGGTTCCCATGTATCATTTCATTTCATTCATACAGTTCCCCCCCCAAAAAAAAAAAGATACCCATTTTACAGATGAGGAAACTGACATGCCTTCTCCTCCTCCTCAACTGACAAAGCCTATGCAGTCTCCTTGGGCAGTTGGGGGTAGGGGGGAAGGGGTACAGAGTCCATAGGATGTGATCAGTACTCCTTTGCTTGGAAATGTGTGGGGGCTGTTCCTTGTGCTTAGAAGGGCTAGAGAAACAAGTGGGTTTTCATGGGAGCAATAAGACTTGCAGGGAGAACTAAAGAAATATGAAAATGTGGACAGCATGGCTGTGGGCAGGTGAGTAGTAGTTTGCACACCCACAGATGATTGATAATCAGTGCAGTGCTGTGCAGATCAGACAGACCTGGGGCATCTTACAAGGACCTTCTAATTCTGAGATTCTAGAATGTTCTTCTGGGCCTGAAATCTCATTTGGGGAGCTTGTGCTATGGTTCTAAAGTTCCTGGTTAGAATGTCACGAGCTGCTGGATTTAGGATTCTATTCTGGAATTGTGTGATTCTCTCTGATGAGACTAAGACTCACGTTCCCCTGTGTGACAGAATTCTCTCCTGCTGTGTGAGTAGGTGGAGCTTCCCTTCCTATTTGAGAAGGGAGGCCTTATAGAGGTCTGCTGTATAATGAAGGGCAACACATTGGGTCTGCACACTCTCATCCTCGTTTCCCCCAGTGTACAACCACTGAAGAGAGCTTGCATCTGAGGCAGAGGGAGCTGGTCATCACCAGGTCTGCGTGGGTGAGATGGAAATTGAACAGCTGTCAGCAAGCAGAAGGGGTGGGGGGAGTAGGAGATAGAGCTCCTGGCAGAGGGGCTGTCAGCTCTCACTTTCCACCTCCCCATAAGCCTTCAATTTAAAGAAAGCTTCCATCTGTCAGCCTCAGGCATGTGGGATAGGTTTGCAGCCTGGAAGGGATGGGCAGTGCTTGGGATCTTGGTATGGCTGAGAACCACATTCAGAGTACAGTGGAGGGCAAGATGAGTTCCTCCTCTCCCCAGATTTATGTGGGACCTCAGGCCCAGGGCTCAGCCTGCCTAGGCATACTGCCAAGGCAGGAGAGATAGAAGCAGAGACACCCCATTCCACCCTCACCCCAGGCCTCTCCCAGTAGGGAACCATGGGCTCACACTGCCTAGACCACCTATGAGATCAAGTGGGTAGGAAACCTTGAATCAGGATCAGCCCTGCTCCATGGGAGAGGGGAAAGTCATTTGGAGTGAATTTGGACTCTGCCAAGCACAGAGGCTGGTGAAGGTCCTTTAGAGCATGCTGGGAGTGAAGGTCCTTTAGAGCATGTGAGAGGTACAATCCTGGAGAAGGTGGTGACCCCTGGAGAAGTGGCCACAGCAAAAAAGCCAAGACAGAGGGCTCGACCCTGAGTCACCCTGGTGACTGAGCACCAGGTGGGTACCCACCACCTCCCAAGTGGCCTTGGGCATATTTGATCAGCACCCCAGTTAGAAAGGCTTCCTTCCCAGAAGTCCTCACTCCCAGTAGGGAATTAGTGTCTCATGAATGCAGTGCACTTTATAGCACCCAAAGCACTAGAGTTTGCAGTGAGCTTTCATTTCTGTAATTTGACCATGTTGAGAATACATTTACCCCATTATACAGATGGGAAAATTGAGACCAGAGGAGGATGGACTAGGACCTCCTATTGCCTGAGACCATTTACTCATTAGCTGCTGCAGGTTCTGACATCCTCAGGGTTCATCGCTGGCTCTATTTTATACTCTCTTCTAGAGGGGTGAGAATAGAAGGAGTTTCTTTCTCATGTTTCCTTCCACATCAGGAGGGCCACTGAAGACACAGGGCAGAGGTTCTGCAGATACGGCACTGCAGACATGTTTACTGCAGCCAAAAGTCTATCCTCATACATTCTAGCTATTGTCTCCATCTTCTAGGCCCCCAGCCCCAGCTGCCCCTACACCAGGCCCAAGCTTATCTGTACAAGTACACACACACCTACTGACTGCCCCTTCCCTGTGTCCCCAGGAGGCTGGCCAAGTCCACACTCCTGCTGATCCCCCTGTTTGGAGTCCACTACATTATGTTCGCCTTCTTACCTGACAACTTTAAGGCTGAAGTGAAAATGGTCTTTGAGCTCGTCGTAGGGTCTTTCCAGGTATGAGCTGTTGACTTAAGGCTGCCTTTTCTTCTGGCCTTTATGGGAATTCAACCTGGGGCCTTGGTCTCATGTTACTGGATTCCACTCCCTTCATTGCGGAAACATTGATTGAGCACCTACTGTGTGCTTGGCCCTATGCTTAACAAGGGGGCCTCAGGGGCTGGGGCTGAGGCAGGGCTGAGAGCTCGGGATCTGTCTACTCTACCTCACTTATCTGCTTTCTCTCCAGGGTTTTGTGGTGGCCATCCTATACTGCTTCCTCAATGGTGAGGTAAGCCCCCCCAGACCTTGGAGGCCAGGGAACAGAGAAACCCATCTAGGCCTGGGACCCAGAAACGCTGATGGACATGTACAGAGCAAGGGCTGGTTGTACCTTGCTACTCCAAAAGAGGTCCTTAGGCTAGCAGCATCTGTATTACTTAAACCAAAACCAAGCTCAATGCCATCGAGTCAATTTTGACTCACAGCGACCCCCTTTGGGTTTCTGAGGCAGTAAATCCTTACAAAAGTAGATTGCCCAGTCTTCCTTCCGTGGAGTGGCTGGTGGGTTTGAACCACCAATCTTCTGGTTAGCAGTCAAATGCCTTAGACACTACACCACCAGAGCTCCTGTATTACTTAGTACAGTGTTAAAATTGCAGATTTCTAGACCCACCCCAGACCTGCTGACTCAGAATCTGAAATATAACAAAACCTACAGGGGATTCACATGCATATCAGAGTTTGAGGAGTGTCTACTTAAGTGACTTTGTGTTCAGAGAGTGGGGAGAGGAAGGCCAGTAAGCAAAGGTTGAGTTGCTGTGGTGCCCTGGTTAAAAGGCACAAAAATCCAGTTGGAAGAGTTCATCTGAGCTGGAGGGTGGAGAATTGAAGAATGGGGTAAAGTCACCCCTAGACAGCATCCCTCTCCCTCCCTGGACTGCATTCTCTGATCCTCTGAGTGCCTCCCCGTCACCCCTCTCCAAGGTGGTGATCTGACCCTGACCCCAACCCCTTAACAGCACTGCTACTTCCAAGGCAGCAATCCCGGCTCTCAGTTTAAGAGTTCCAAAGGAGGATATGATTGGCTGGCTAAACGCCCTCAGTCAAGGGTAGCCCAATCAGCAGCAAAGGAGACTCCAGGGACGAAACTCACCGCCCTCCCTCTATCTCAGGTGCAGGCTGAGCTGCGACGGAAATGGCGGCGCTGGCACTTGCTGGGCATCTTGGGCTCGAACCCTAAATACCAGTACCCATCGGGAGGTAGCAACGGCGCCACAAACAGCACGCAGGTCTCCATGCTGACTCGCATCAGCCCAGGTGCGCGCCGCTCCTCCAGTTTCCAGGCCGAAGTCTCTCTGATCTGACCGCCAGACGCCCAGGGCGGCCCTCGCATCCCCACCTGCCTCAGGTGGCATCGGGGGAGAGGTCTGCCCTAGCGCCGTCAGCCTCAGCTCTGTGTCGACTTCCTTGGAGAGTACAGCCCTTGCGCTTGCCTGGGGTTAAGGAGGGTGCAGACGTAGGAGAGCCCTAGATGAGCTAGAAGCGCATACCCTGCAGGATATGGGGTGGAAAACAATTATCAGATTCCTCCTCCAAAGGCCCCCTTTGCCAATCTAGGGCAGGAAATCTGCATACTCTGTCTTTGATCCTGTTATCTCTCCTGACCAACAGGAGGAAGGCAGGCACCCATCCTCAAATGGTGTCGGTGTGATCTGAGAGGAGAAAGATCCTCCCCAGAAAGGTCACCACCCACCACCAGCACCTTGACAGTGCCTAAAACTTCACCATTGCTATCATGTTCCTTTGGGTTAAGCATCACCATTCACCCATCTCTCTGAGTTGCATTTCCCCTTTCCTCAGGGCTTGCTCTGAGCTAACACAGTTCAGCAGATGAGTTCCTTTACCTCAGGCAGTTTCAGTTGTGAGGTAATACAGAGGTTCAGTTTGGGGAGCACAGCTGCCTCTCTAGTCCCCTCTGAAATGGAGCTGGGGGTCCCAAGGGCCCTCTCTGACCATGGCTGTGGCTGGAACGATGTCCTTTGAGGACTTGGGAACTCTGAAGCCTCTGGGAAGTAAGGAGACTGCTATCAAGGCATGCAGGGGCCTCAGACAAAGCCTACCCACTCCTCAGGCCTCAGTGGTTCTCCCACTAAGGGGAGATAGTTTTATGCTTGGATCAATACAAAGCAACTGACAGAATTTCTGGAGATTCCAGAAATGGTTAAGTAGGAGCACTCCAAAGGCCACAGACATTCCTGCAGAGAAAGAGCAGATGAGGTGTGAGATGACCATGTCACCCTTGCCCAGGTTCAGCCAAGAGGAGGTAGACAGGGGAAAGCACAATGTCACCAAAACAAATGAATAGCACAGACTGACAGAAAGGTTTAGAAATAAGTAGTAGGGCAAAGTAGATGATGTCAGGCAGCAAGAGCTGTCTCCAGAGTCATTGCCCAAGCTCACCTCCTGGGTTCCACTTCCTGTAAACTTGCAAAAAGATTGTCTTGCTGCAAGAAAGAGTTGCCAAGCTGGTAAAAAGAGACCAGAATGGGCTGGTAAGAGCTCATATCTATCCTCAAAGCTCTTTCAAAGCCTTATTCTGCTCACAGCCACCCCAGGACCCACCACCAAATGACAGCCCCAGCCTGCAGAGGCTCAAGTTTGGTGGTCACTCAGGATGAGAGTGACTGTGAGCCTGAGGTAGGGGCAGTCCTGAACAAATATCCTTCAATCAGTTGTGCAGCATATCCAGGAGTGGCGAATGGCCTCCATCTAGGTGCACAACCATTCTAGGCTCCACCCTGTGTATGGTCAGCTATAGGATAGAGGAGTTAGTGCTCCCAGCTTTGGCCTCAAGCACTCCTAGGACTTCTGGAGGGAGCAGTCTCAGCTCCCCCATCCCTGGGCCAGCAGTGTCTGGCAACTTACAATGAGAGACCTCTAGTTCCAGGAAGATGCTGGTGGTGGAGACCTGGGCCAGGAATTTAAAGCATCAGGAACTTCCATTCTTCCTTGAGGGTCTCATACTCCTGCTACTCCAAGGCATGGGGGATAAGAGGAGACAGGCAAGGAGTCCATGTACCATATCACCCAGCTAGGCATGCCACTCACCCTCTCTGATTCCCCCCCTCCTACTCTGGTTCCAGATACCTTGTCCATTCCTACACACCTCAGAAAGGGACAGAAGACAGAGCCCTGGTTGTTTAGTCCTAGTTTGCGTGGCGAGTTCTCCACAGCCTTCCTGGCTAAGGCTTGGGTGGCTAACAAGATGGCAGCTGCTCGGAGTCCTCTGCCACCTGCTCTGCCCTCTAAGCTCTGGGAAGGAAGAAAGTAGCTGAATGGAGAACCCCAAGTAACCTGAGGGCCCAGGGCAGGCACAAAGAATGGAGACTGTGCGGAGAACTAGGTCCAAGAATTGGAGGGGCTCCATCTCCAGAGATGAGCTGAGGCTGCTGCAAGAGAGGAAGGGAAGCAGAAACCTGAGGAGCCAAAAGAACCTAGAAGCAAGGTGTATGCAGAGGAAAGGGACTTCACAGGCTGCCTGAGCCATGTGAGGGCCAGGTGGGACCCCCAGACCAAGCTGAGCCTACCTCATCCAGCACAGCTCCTGAAATCCCAACATCAATGTGTCACGATTTCAGGGTAAGGCAGAGAGCACAGGGGAGGGGGGAAAATTACCAGCCAAGAGGGCGTAGAGTGAACGAAATGCAAAGATACCCAAGATATGGGCAACAAAAGGGAAGACAGGTAGGGCCCTCTGCGACAGAAGATGAAAAGCCCAGTGAAGCCAAAACAGACTAGGACCAGCAGAGTTTGTGCGCCAGCATGACAAGCTGGAAATAGATATGGAGTAGGGGTGCCCATGAGCAAGATTCCTCTTTCCCCACCACCCCTAGGTCCTGGTATCCTTCTCTTGCCTTGCAGAGCACTTGTCAGTCCAGGCCAGTTCATCTCTGTCTCCACCTGATGGGTGCTTTGAGAACTTCACCAAGGAGGGTCTTAGTGCCCTAAAGATCTAGCTACAGGCCCCTGTCAAGGAGGCCAAGTGACACAGAACAGGAGTCTCTCAGTTGCATTTCAGAGTGAGAGACAAGAGGGAGGTAGCAAGGCAGAGGACTGGTGAACCCAGGGTCGGTCTGGGGATTAGGAAACCCAGGGCCTGGGCCTCATACCCAAGAGCCTGATCTTGCTGCACCGTAGGATCCATGCCTCAGATCCAGCTGTGACCTCGGGTAGATCCTGCCTCTGGTTAGCCACAGGCTAGGACTTGGCCCTGGTCTAGATTGAAACCTGGCACCTGACTGATCCCAGTCCCTAAGGGAAAACTCAGTTAACTCAGGTGGGCATCTCCTGAAAAGACAAAGACGACAAGGAAACCTCTCACCCGGCACTGAGGGCTGCCATCGAGTGGATGGCAAACCAACCCGTGTAGATAATTCCTGCCACTCAGGACTCAGGCTGTCGGAGGAGGACAGTCAGTCTGTCTACAGTCAGGGTGAGGTACACTGGGGTGGTCTCTGAGGACTAGGTAGCGTCTCTGGGTTCCTGAATCCAGGTAAACAGCACCAGGAGCCCTTTCTGACAGGAACACAAGGGAGGCTTCTTAGGCTGAGGGGGTGAGAGTGGGTTTGGGCTGCTCTGAAGGGCCCCAGGAGCAGGCCTGGGAAAAGTGTCCAGTCCATCATCCCAGAGAGGGAGGAAGAGGAGCAGGTGTGGGAGGTGACGACCTAGTTTTGCACATGCTGAAATGCAGTATCTGTGGGACATATGGGGAAAAGCCCACCACTGTTTGAATCAGGACCTAAAGTGACAGGGCCCAGGCAGGGGCTGGGGAGACCAGGACAGACCCTCGGTGTGGGGGAGGGGTATGTAAAGAGTCTTAAGCCCCAGGCACCTCCATCTGGCATGCTGGATGGGAGGGGTGAGGAGTAGCATCAGCCCCTCCATTTCCACCACTCACCAGGGCCTGTTTTAATGAGCAATGACCCAGATTCCCCCTAAACACCCCCCCATGTGGGAACAGGAACTGGTCTTATCTCTCCCGGGGGAGAGGGCAGGAGCCACAGCTGGCAGTCATTAAACACCCTGATCAGGCCAGGGATGGCTGAGATATTAATAGCTGGGAGTCGATGACCCTGGAGACACAGCCTCCCAGTAAGAGGGACAGTAGCCTCGGCAGGCCATGGGGATAAAGAAGACAGGTCAGGAGGCCATGGTAGCACTGCCCCAGCTGACATGCAGGACAGAGAGGGGAAACCAATGTCAAGAGAAGGGATTGCTCAGGGTCTCCAGCAAGTCACTGGCAGAGCCCAGCCCTGGACCCAGTTCTCCCGATCCCAGAGCCCTGCTTCTCCCAGCATGTGGACTGTCACAGGTGAACTTGATTGGAGTACCCTGTGGGGGAACACTAGAGGAACAGACCCAATTGTGGACACTGATTTTGTCTTTATTTAATTCTTGTTTAAAATTGAGATGAAATTCACATAGCCTAAAATTAACCATTTCAAAGTGAACAATTCTGTGACATTTAGTGCATTCACAGTGTTCTACAACAACCACTTCTATCTAGTTCCAAATCATTTTCATCACCCCAAAAGGAAACCCTGTACCTGTTACAAATGCTACCATTCGCCCCTCCTCCCTGCTCCTAGTAACTACCAATCTGCATTCTATATCTATGGATTTGCCTATTCTGGGTGTTTTATATAAATGGAATCATACAATATGTGACCTTTTGCATCTAGCTTCTTTCACTTAGTATAATGTTTTCAAAGTTCATCCACATCATAGCATGTATCAGTACAATTTTGAATTTTTATATTTTGTTCATTATGTATTTTTGCATTAAGTTTTTTTAAATATTACATTAAAATATTATTTTGATTACTGAGTTTCCTGGTGTCCTCTTATATTTTTTACCTCACCCTGATACCAGGTCACCTGAGGTTTATCTCATCCTAGTCCCAGCTGCCCCCCAGAGCCACTGCACCCTCGAATCCCAGGATGTTGGGACTGGAAGACTTCGGAGAACTCTGTACCAGGATCCATTTGGTCAGAGGGAAGCCTAGCTAGGATGATCCTATTAGAAATAGGCAGCTCTAGGGTTAATTTATCAACTCAACAATGTTCTTGTGGTCAGTTTGTGTGTCAACTTGGCTGGGCCTGGTTGAGTGGCTAGGCAGCTGGTGGTAGTTATTGCCCATGATGAGACTGGCAATCAACTTCATGGTGGAATCTACCACAAGTGGCTGAGTAGCTAGCTGGGTATGTGGTCTGCTTCCTGTATATAAGAAAAGGGTTTGGGAATGGTCTCTAGCCTATGGCACACTTGGACCCTGCATGTAGCTGTGTCGTTGTTCACCAGTCT